TCGAATTGCCCTACATACCTTATTTTCTGACCAATACCACTGTCACAATTCAGCCTCCCTTCTTGGATGCTAATCTACAATATAAGTCACAATTAAGCTAATGTCAGCAGCTAATCACATTAATGCCCTAAAAAAGTAGCTAACACTTGACGGAAAGTAGGCCCATACAACCCTTGCACCAATGGTGAACCACCACACCCTTCTTCTATACATTAATACAACTTCATACATCCTTTTCCAAGATACCCAAACAGCCCCCAACAACAATATACATAAGGCAGCCACTATCAATCCCTAAAAATCTTTTAGCATAATAGGAGAATATTGACTCAAGGATTTATCACCATCCATTAGTTCTTGATAAATATATACAAAATTCTCCACACCAAATCTGTATTTAAAGAGAGGCAAAAATGGGCAGTAGTCTTACCTTAGTTTCTAGGAATTTATCCTCTAAACTTGTACTCCAAGAACTGAAATTCTCCTTCAAACTTTTACTTGAAAATGGGGCAATACTCAAGGACCCAAGGTTTTCTAGGGCTGCTGATTGAAGCCAAGAGAGACCAAGAGAGAAACTTAAGAAATCTGAAATTTTTGCAAGTTAAAAATGAAGCAAAAGATCTGATCTTTATCCCTTTAAAAAGGAGGTGTAATGGCCGAATTTCTTGACTAATTTTGGCCATATATTGTCAAGTAGGTGACCCACCTATTTGGCCTTTTAACTTGGGCTTTTGGGAACTTCAACACTTGTTGGGCCCTACTCCGAATTATCCCTCTATTCATGTCAATTTGGGCCATAATTAATGCAAGTAGGTGGTCCACCTATTTGGACTTTTCACTTGGGCCTTTTTGGACTTAAGACTATTGGGCCTTGGCAGTCCATTTTTCCCTTATCCTTCTACTCAACTTGGGCCAAGTTAATACAAGTAGGTGGTAGTGCATTTGGCCCAATTACCACTTTACTACCTCTAGTTTAAATACTTCCGTCGGAGCTAACTTGCAGTACACATGCTGAAACGTGCAAGGTGTTACATCACCTTGCGAGCTAGTTTAAACCAACACTAATCATATAAGAAGCACGGTCCTTCACCTTTACTATAAGGATATGTCAAGTATCACGTGAATAGAACTAGCATACGCATAATACAGGTTGTTACATGGCCGGCGGTAGCAAACTGGTGTAAGAGTAACAGATGGAAAAGAGGTGAGGAAGAAGAAAAAGTATTTTTTTCCCACAAAAACGCCTAATTAAATACCTTCACGCGCCTATCTGAAGTGAATCACAAACAAGGTGCCATGTAGGCAAAAAATGTTTATACGGTTCAAATTCGGAAGGGTAGAGGTGTTCAATAGGTGCAAGTTTTAGTTGAGGTGTCTAAGTGAATTATGCAGACAACTTTAAGGGGCCGTACATGACTTAAGCCTTCTTAATTATTTACACTCTTACACTCCACCAACCACCCTACAACACCCTTAACAATTATTATTCTCGTTTAAATAAGCTTATAAAAAATAATTTATAGAATGTTTGGATGGAATTATTTTAAATAATTTTGGTTTTTCAGATACTTTTTATTTTTGGAGTTATTAAAAAATGAAAAAAAAAAAATTTAAGCACCTATTTTTAAGTCAAAAAAGTATAAAAATAATTTAAATGAAAAATTGATATTACCAACTTATGACTTTTAGCTTATAAGTTACTTTCAAGAAAGTCAATATAAACACTTCCTTATAAGTTAAAAACTAAAAATCATAAAAGGAGATACTCTATTTTTGGTTTTTGGCCTACTTTAACTTTTTCAAACACCTCTACAAATTTTTTTTAAAATAATGGTGTTTCAAAGTCGAAAGCATCTACAAACAAGCTAATCCAACACCCTCTTATATTTTTTAGCAAACAATGTGTATATTGTGGTATTAAAAAAAAGTTTATTCATTAAAAATTACATTCTATATATCTAATAGATTATCATTTCTCTTAATGGAGTATCATCTTACTCCATAGTGTCAAAAATGGAAAAAATTTACGCTCTATGTATATTAATTAAGAGAAAATATTTACGTTATGTAGCCAATTTTTTGAGTTTGCTACATGGTTTAGCCCATATTTCTTTATGAAAACTTTTCATACACTATTATACCATTTTATATAAAGTTAATATATTATGTATAATGTTTTCCCCAAATATAATATAGATATTGTTTATTCAGTTACTTGACTTAATATTTTAAGTTGTGCTATGTATTTTAAAATTTCCTATTTTTCTTCTATACTATGAAGTTGTTAAAATTTATTTTTGACTTTGGAATTATTTTATTATTATAGCTTAAAATCAAATATTTATAAATACTTTTTAAATTTAGTCAAACACTTTTAAAATTATTTGGACTTATAATCACTTGAAATAAATCAATTCAAACAGACTCTAGATCACGTGTAATAGTTAAAAAAAAATAAAAATTATACTACTATACCCCTTGGATATTGTCCACTACTAGCCGAGAAACTTATTGAATTTTTTCTTTCTTTTATCATTTAATATTTGGTGTACGAACCAACTTACATGTGTACTTTACTTCGTCATTTCTAGCAAATTAAACTTCAAAGTGCTAACTATATCATATGAAGAAAAAATTCGTCTCCAAGTTAATCTAATTTACACGTGCACATTATTTATAGGGAAAGGTACGTGGTTAAACAAACTTATATTACTTAATTACTCATCATAGTTATAGTTTGCTATAACTATCACTCGAACTAACATTAACCATTAATTACGTGGGCTGACTTCGAGTTTGTATAATTAGTCACGTTTGTATATGTATAATTCGTCACATTTGTATAATTCGCAACTAACAATTCTTTGTTTGATTTGTATTTGTATATGATGGTTTGTTTTTGTATATGATGATGATTTCCTTTGGGTTTTCAGTTTTGTTATCATATACATTCAATCTTTTCGTATATAACTTTTTAAAGTTTGTATAAACGTGTAGTTTTCGAATTTTGTATAATATAATTTATATAATATAATTTGTATAATATATTTTGTATAATTGTTTAAAGTTCGTATGTTTATGTTTGTATCAACTCTTTATTTCGAGTTTTATTATATTTGTATAATTCCAGAGTTTATATTACTCAATTATTCAAAAACACACGAAGTATACAAACCTACATGCGGATTATACAAATTATTGTCCTCTCTCGCTCGCCTCTCTCCTCCCTCTCCCAATCTCGCTCGCGACTCTCCTCCCTCTCCCAATCTCTCTTGCCAGAATATACCAATATATATATATATAGTATACAATTATCTAACTGATATACATATACAATTCACCTCTCTCCCACTCTGTGCCGTCTCTCCTCCCTCTCCCAGTCTCACTCGCCACTCTCCTCCCTATAACATGTAGCTATGAATCATAATTAGCAAACTATAGCTATAGAACGTAATTAGACTATTTTTAAGTGGCTATATGTGAAAGTTTCTCTTAATTATATTGTCTTAAGTTGTGACACTGTCACTATTTTATTTATGTTGGATTTCATTTACTCCCTCTATCCCTAATTACTTGTCAGCTTTTGAATTGACACACCTATTAAGAAAACAATCATTGACATAGTGAGTTTACCATTTACTCCTATTAATTATGAAGTGGATAAACTAAAAACTAAAAATTTTCAAGAAATTCTATCTTTTTCAAAGTAATTAATTGAGGATATAATATGTAAACAATATTTTATCATTTTTTGATTTGTCAAAATAGACAAGTAGTAGGGACAACTAGAAAAGGAAATTTGGACAAGTAATTAGGGATAAGGGGAGTATTTGACAAGAAGTCCACAAATGTGTATTCTTCTATTTAAAAAGTCATTAAAATTGTATATAATCTTTATACATTGCAAAGTCTTTTCATATACCTTAAAAATAGTTTTTAGACAGAGTCCTTGAGGACACATAACCAAACTACATTAGATAAATTGAAATGAAGGGATGTCATTTTATTTTGTGTATACATCTGATTAAGGGACTGTGTTTTCACCAATAAATACACTTATCATACTATTTTTGTTAAGTGACGGTATTACTGAAATATATTTATGATGTATTGACTAAGCTAAATTAAAACCATATTCTATGATTTTAAAATTAGAGTGTACCAAGAAATTATTGCCTACAGAAAATGTTAAAAAAATCGAGCGACTAGCTAGAGGTATCATTTAGTTAGATAGCTTTGTTATATTTGAACATATAAAAAAATGGACTGGTGAAGTTTAAGGTAAAAGCCAGAAAAGATAAATTATTCATAGAGCTTCCAACAGTAGTATTAGTACAGGCAGAGGTGGACTCGTGCACGTGCATTCGTTAACTTTGAAAAAAATTATGTGTATAGGTTTATCTATCTTGAGAAACTAATATAAATTAAGATATAAATAATTGTGCACCCATGAAGAGTATAGATTTGTCATACTATTGGTACAAGCTTGAAGAACCACTCATGAGACCTGGGTTTGAATCTAGCTACAATATTATTTTATTGTTTTTTGTTTTTTAAATTTATCTTAGAACTCATATTTGAGCTAAGGTAATATTGGTGCATTCAAAATCTTCAAATCTTGAATTCGTCTCTGAGTACAAGAACTTGTATCAGCTAGCTAGGACAATGGATGAGATTGTTCTTCTCTCAGTAAAAAAGTTTCGAGTTTGAACCCTAATTATGAGAAAAATTCTTGATAGAGAGTGTTTCCCTCCCGAATAAGTTCTTACGTTACATATATAAATCTAAATTAATGAGACTCCAATACAGATTTGGGATATCGAAAAAGAAAAAAAAAGAAGCTAGCTAGTATTCCTTAGTCAGCAAAGTAAGTTAGAAATAGGGTTGTCCTAATGACTTTATGTAATTCTTAATAAAAACTGAGTTTGTTGGGACTATTTAAAAGGGAGTGTCTCTATTAACATAACAACTAGTCTTTGTAAGAACAAGAAAAAGAGAAAATGGGGAGAGCTCCTTGTTGTGATAAAAGTAATGTAAAGAGAGGGCCATGGTCACCAGAAGAAGATGCCAAGCTCAAACAATTCATTGAAAAATATGGAACTGCTGGAAATTGGATCGCCCTTCCTCAAAAAGCTGGTAAACATATATACTCCCTCTGTCTCATTTTATGCGAGTTAATTTAATTTGGTACGAAGTTTAAGAAAAAAATTAAGACTTTCAAAACTTGTGATCTAAAAGAAATTATATAAATTTGTGTGGTTGTAAATCATTTCATTAAAGGTAAAATAAACATTTTATAATTAAATTGTTATTTAATATAGAAATGTGTCATTTTTTTTTAGATTAACTAAAAAGAAAAGTAAGTCACATAAATTGGGACATAAGGAATATATTTTAATTAATTTTTGTGTAAATGCAAGATTCAAAATGCTATGTAAAATGTATATTTGAAGGTGCTGTGGGGTTAATATATTTGGATCAGGACTGAAAAGATGTGGGAAGAGCTGCAGATTGAGATGGCTAAACTATTTAAGGCCTAACATTAAGCATGGAGACTTTAGTGATGATGAAGATAGAGTTATTTGCAGCTTGTATGCCAATATTGGGAGCAGGTAACAAATTTCATGACTAATATTATGTAATAATGAGTACTTGAGACTACAAATTTGAAAAACATTAATTAGATGATTTTGCCAATTAATTTTATGCATGCATCCCAGGTTTACATCTTTAATCAACTCTTTCTTTAATTTACTACTCACTCACACCTGTTCTAACAAAGTTCAATCACTTCATTTTGTCCTCCTTGTATTAAATTTATTTAATTTACATGATATTTCTCAAATTTAGAGACTCAAACTGCTTAATTTTGATTCTTTGTTCAAATATAGAATCTTCATTTTTTTAAGATTAAAGATTATATATTTACAAACAACCTAGAAAATAAAAGTCACGAAAACAAATAATTTAAAATAATTAAGGTAACTCATCTAGTTTGACTGTCGAAATCTGTATCCTACCACATGAATTGAAAAGAAAAAAAGTACTAATTAAATTGACATTAACTTTTATACACATTGGTAGTCTAAGAATCAAATCTTTGTTAAAAGTGAAATCAATATCCTAAAAATAGTTGACGATAGGGTAGTCTACATTATAATCACATATTATATTTTCACGTCTATATAAGTTAAATTCAATTTAATTATGATAAGGCACTTAATTATTTCTAACATGTGCAATTGTATGACAGGTGGTCAATTATAGCTGCTCAATTACCCGGAAGAACAGACAATAATATCAAGAACTACTGGAACACAAAGCTAAAGAAGAAACTCATGGGGTTAAATAATATTATTCCTTCATCAAATTATAATCAAAGATCGCCATTCTTTCCATCTCAAATAGCACAACCCCAACCCCAACCCCATATGATTTCAAGTCTTTTTAGAGACACATCAAATGCAGTAGTGTGCAATAATAAGAATATTAATTTTTCTATGGGTAGTAACCAATATTGTGATTATTTACAAAGTCAAGATAGATTGGTGAATTCCTTGAAATATTGCACATTGAAAGATAGTAATAATTTACTAATGTTTGGTGGGACAGATGTAGCAAGTTGTTCCTCATCTGATGGAAGTTGTAGCCACCAAATGAGGTATGGAAAAGAAATCAAGAAGGAAAGAGAAATAGGTAATTGTAATTTCTCTAATTATGAAGAAACTCATCAAAACTTCATTCTTGATTATGGCATTGTCAACAATATTATTAGCCAGCATGATGAAAAGCCAAATCATGTGTGTTTGGGAAGCAACACTCAAAATGATCAACTCCGGTATGATGTTGAACAAGTTAAGCAGTTGATTGGCAGAGGCAGTGGCAGTGATGGTAATAATAATAATAATAATAATAATAATAGTAGTAGTTTGATTTTTAATGATGAAAACAAGACAGATGAGAGGGGGATGTACTATTACCTAGGAACTCATCTAAACTGACTTCAAGTCAGGTGAAAACAAAAGCAAGGACTTTAGTTTAAGGGGTTTTGTGCAGTTGTGATGTAATTGAATGGAAATAACTTACTCCCTCCGTCCCTATTTACTTGTCCATATTTCCTTTTTTGGTTGTCCCTATTTAGTTGTCCATTTTGACAAATCAAGAAAGGACAACAAATTTTTTCCTATTATACCCTTATTTACACTTCTTGAAAATTGTAAAAGTGTATGTTGTTTCCCTCCAATTTATTTCACTTGAATTCAAATAAGTGGTTGTAATTTTGAAGTGAAAAGTTGTCATAAGGGTAAAATTGTAATTTCACTGTAGTAATCATTGTTGCCTTAATCTGTGTGCCATTTCTAAAGTGGACAACTAAAAAGGGACGGAGGGAGTATTTGATTTGCCAGTACAATGGTAAACCTTTTTCTTTTAAGATACTCCTATTTGTTTGTTTGTGCCACCCTTTTCCCTAACCCCTTCCAACTCTTTACCACTATTCTTTCTGTTTTAATTTATATATTACTCTTTCTCTGTTTGCTCTTAATTGTTATGATATATTTTTTGAAAGTTAATTTGATTAATTTTTAAAATTAAATTAGATTATATTAATTTGATATTTTAGACAAAAAATTTAGATATTTAAAAACTATATGAGATTTTTATAAATTTCTATTTTTTTGCAAATATACATTCAAAATTTTTATAGTTTGACTCTAAAATAGAAATTATGACAATTAAAAGTGGACGGAAGGAATATTACTTTAATAAATAAAGGGAAAAGATTCAATGTGACATCTGTTTAAAAATTGGCTTATCTATGACATCTGTTAAAAAAATGGCTTATTTATGTCATTTAAGTTAACAAATAATGATATTGATGAGCCTTTGAAATTGACATAGATGAGCTAAACTTTTAACAGATGATATGCCTTTTATCAAAAATTCGATGAAATATTTGAGTTTTTCCATAAATAAATAATTTAGTGGTAATTATTTAGTAGTAATAATATAATTGTTGCTATATTATATAGAGTGGCAATAATAAATATGAATATTTATAACCAATACTTTATGAAGATTTCATTAAAAAATTTATCCACTCTGAATGCAATGACACTAACACAATCGCGTTAAATATTTTTGTGACGGTAAAAAGAAAAATATCTCACCACTAAATGTCTCTTTTATTATAGCATATGTGATCTTATATAATTAAGTACATAAAAAGAAAATCAAAATTTATAATTTATAATTTAAATAAGTCATAAATATATGCTGACTATACATAATTTTATCAAGGGTAATATAAAAAATTCAAAGTTAAATTATCAATGATCGTAAAAACATATCATTTTAAAAAAAAATTGATTGAAAGTAGAAAGTAGAGCAAAAATTTGAACAAAGAAAAATTGTGATATCATGAGAAGTTTATCATTTCTACGGTTCTTTAAGGGCGTTAGGTTTGAAAACAAGTTATGATGGTATTAGGTAAAATTAAATTAGTTATACAAAAACTATTTATCTTGGAACTAGTTATTTAACTTTAAATTTTTATACAAATCTTTTATAAAGCTTTGATTATTCACTCTTTAAAACAAAACCTTCACCTTATTTTGCTTAATTCTTTTGTGTTCCGAAGATTGTGTGGTATGTCTTCAACTATATATATATATTAAAGTTCTTTACATAAAAATAACTACTTACACCTAAATTAAGTTCATTCAAATTGGAAAAACATCTAAGAATGCATAGAAGGACAAAAACTGTATCAAAACAACCTAAAAAGATAATGGATCAAAACTCACCAAAAACTGCTTCTAATAGACTGTAAAAATTTGATAAAAACGGACCAAAACAACCTAATTAAACATCCCAAAACAGTAAAAATTACGCTTAAATAAAAAAATCTGCACAAAATTGCACTAAAACAACGAAAACTAAACAAAATTTGCACTAAACAGCAAAAACTGGCCATAAAATAATGTGTAAAGTGACAATAATAAGTATTTAAGAATTAAGGGGAATTTTTGTCATTTAAATTATATTATCCTAGTATAAGTTATTTTGATATTGTTATTCCAGCTAGGGGTGTACATGACCGGGTTGGTTCAGGTTTTTCAAATATCAAACCAAACTATTTGTGTAAATTTTTAAATTTATAAACCAAACCAAATTAATAAAATTCGGATTTTTTCGGGTTTTTCAACCTCGGGTTGGTTCGGGTTTTTCAATTACCAAATCAAACCATTGTGTCGAATTTTTAAATTTACAAATCAAACCAAACTAATAAACCTCGGATTTTTTTAGATTTTTGGATTTTTTTTCGGTAAAGTTTGCATACAAACATATAATTAACTTGTGCTCCAATATTTCTTTAGTCCAACCAAATACAATTATCTAAGGTGTTTCTTAAAAAATAACACAAAATATGAGATGAGTATTGATGACACTAAAATATTCAATAAAAAATAATAATGAAATCATCATATAAAATAAATATTGCAAAGACATAATTAAAATTATCATAATTTAAAAGTACTAAACCATGCTAAAATAAGTTTAATAAGTATTAGTTATATTACTAAATATTTAAGGAAAATTAAAATTAGATTATGTATTTTAATTGTCTAAACTAATGTAAACAAAAGAACAAATATTCAATATTATTGTCATTCTTAGTGTTGAATTGATTTTCTTTTTGCATTAGTACTAATTTGATTTTGATTTTTAAGTTTTATTATAATTATCAACATGTATGAACTATAATCTTTATTGGACCATTCCGAATTCTATGTTTTAAACTTGAAATAATATATTAAAAGATAAAAACTATGAAATAGTATAAGAAATATTTTAAAATTATATCAAAGTAAATATTTTTATGTATAAAATAAAATTTTAAAATTACATATATAATGTCGGGTTGATTTGGTCTCGGGTTGTTTTTTTTAGTTAAAACCAAACCAACCCAAATATAGTCGGGTTTTTTTTCCAATACCAAACCACTAGTCGAGTTCTTTTTTCAGTTTGACTCGATTTACAGTTTGATTCAATTTTTGGTTCGATTTTATACACCTCTAATTCCAGCAAAAGGGAAGGAGAACTTATCCCATAACTGTTTAGTAATCTTAAAATAAGTTATTTTATCTGTGTAACCAAAAAGGGATTAAGAGACATTACAATTTTATAGTATTTTCTCTTTTCCATCACACCAAACAACCCGTAAGAGTTTGAGAAATAAAAGACAAATCTCTTTCATTGTTTTTTATTAAAACAAATGAGTATTATCTACATATTAGTACTCTGCTATTTTAGTTTATGTGATTCTATCTCTTCTTTTTTTTTCGTTAAAAGTTTAAACTTTTTTCGACCAAAATGTCAACTATATAAAGCTGTCAATGTTTTTGAATTCAGAGTTAGCTCTCCTACTATTTTTTCTATACATTCAACTATAAAACAGAAAAAATGCTACCATTGGACTATCTTTTAACAACTAATATCCTATCAAAACTATAATAACAGAGTGCTAAAATATAAGTTTTAGTAGTAATAAATATATAATATTAACAAAGAGTGATAAAATATTTATCGGTTATAGTTAATTATTATTGGATTTAATGTCGTTATAGACTTTAGAGATATTTACAAAAAATATTAATTACTGCTAAAAATACATATTTATAAGCAAATAAACTATTATTATTATTATCTACATGTTGCTACAAATTATTTTTGGTATAGTGTTTATGACCATATATATATATATACTCATTTTCTTAACTCTATCTACAGTCGAAATAATATGCAGTGCCAACCACAGAGTGAAATGCTATCTTGGAATTAGCCAATTAACCTTCTAGATAATTTCTTGCTGAAAAACTTCTTTTTAATTCATTAAATTGACAAACATCTCTTCATTTAATCTAATGATATATTTAAGTTTACACATTTAATATCATGAATTTTATCACACAAATGTTAACAAGCGAAAGTCTATGTTTATTTTCCAAAGTCATCATAAATGAAAAGATAATATTTTTTTTTTGTATGAATCAATATTTTCAGTGTAACAATAAAGAATGAAGGAATCAAAAGAATCTTGTAATTTAAAAAGAGTGATGCCAGCCAGAATATAAAAATATAAGACAATGATTCATGCACAACGATTTTATGGTAAGCTCCAGATAAGAAAATGACAAAATCTCAGTCTTATTTCATGATTAAAGTTTCCCAAATTAATTAACAGTAAGTAGCTAGTATTATAATACTGTGTGTGGAAGGGGACAGACATCTACTTCTGTACCTGCATGTGTGTCTATATACATGAAACTAAAGAAAAAGAAAAACTGAAGTAATTAATTAATCCCAATCAATGTTTTAAAAGACTTTATTGGGACTCGCCTCGGGGCAGGATTTTAGCAAAACGCTCTGAAATTCAAGTATGGGGTTTAGTTCTATAAGTCTTACGCCCTTAAGCGCCCGACTGAATGTCCTAAACACTCCAAACGCCCAACGCTCGGGGCTCACCTAATAAATCTTACACAAATTATGTGTTAGATTCTTTAGTTAATATTGTTGACCTCATAATTGATTGATACTTAATAGTATTAATATATAGAAATAAGAAGATCGAGAGTAGCTCTAATAACAAGTTATAGTATCACATCTTTACTATTTGGTAACACTGTGAGCTAGCTAGGGTGATTATATATTACGTAACATTTCTTTTAATAATACATAGCAAAATTTTACTTTTTTCAGTACTTATTATTTAACTTCATGTTTTCGTCATATATCTCAAAATTATCATATTTTATTTAGCTATTAAAAAGTAATTTTATTTTTATCAATGATGAACTTGTATTTTTATTATAATACTGCTAGTAAATTTTATTGATTATTTTCTTTTAGGGGGTAAATTATATTGTATGATAGTAATATTTTTTTTAGAAATAATGGTTCTTTTATTATTAAAAAGTTAAGATATTAGATTATTTATACA